TTATCATCTATGCAGATGATATTGCAATTTTGCCTTCCAATCCGAGGAGTACGTTGAGCTTAACTTTTAAGGTGGAAAAAGTAGAGGTCAAAACTAAATGACGGCAAATTGTCATTGACCTTAAAAAAACTCATCGGAAAACTCATTTTACATATTAACACCCTAGATGAACATAAAATCATTCTTTCTCATCAATTCGGCTTCCGTCTCTATCTATTATACCACAGTCCACGGTTTGAGAGTTATTGACACCGTTTTCTCCGCTCTAGAAAACTAAGGTTGCCCAGGTTTTTGAATGGATGTAGCAAGGAGACATCCTCTAATATTAAACCGTTCTTACCCACTCGTTTTTAATTTATCTAGAGATCCTATTTAACTGCCATATGTTTCAAGGTAAGGTGCGCCAATGAGTTCCCACAGATTACAACAAAATGAAAGCAACCTTCAAGACTACATTGTGTTTATTAAAGATTGGTAGAAAATGTGGAAGAGAAGACTAAATGAGGAAAAATATACACAGTGTATATTTACATTGTACAACCTTCTTGCCCTACACTGTGCAACAGCAACAAGGAGCTTCCGACTTCCACTGAAGTCAGATACTTAGATACCTAGAGGGTAAACTGTCACACAAACAAAGAAAAGAATGAAATACTTTGACATCTAGGAAGAACGAAATTTTTAATCGTTCAAACCCCAGCTAACACCCTTCCGCCAAGCCAACCAATATCAAGCGCATCTAATCATTGGAATAAAAAGTCCTCGGACAAATGACCAACCTCTTTCTGATGTTACTAATATCACTCACCACAACATTAATATTCTTTTTTCTATTGAAATGATCCGCTTCTTCTTCTAAATGTTCCACGTCGAGTTTTTGATCTACCTTAACCCAAGACCTATCTACACTTTCCTTTCCCGTGTCGACTTAGAAGAAGTCCTTCGAGTCCGCCTCGCCCTTTCATCACTTGTGTTCAATGAGCTTATCGTTACAAGTGTTTTCTGGGTGTCTCTGCTGGGTTCGGGAAAATAAACATCACAACAACAAACAATTTGAGTAAAGGCAGATAAAAATGATCGGGAAATATGAATTTTAAGTCCTTTACCCCACAATCAACATGGCGAAATCTCACATTAATGATTATTCTTCAAAGTAAAACTCTCAGTGACGGCTACAATGTTCCATATCGGTCTAATTTATTTATCGTAAACATTGTTTTCTGTACACCGTGGCTTTTAATAAAAAATAATAATGAAGCCGTAAAAAAGAGAAGGATATGAGAACGCGGAGACCGACTTTTTATCTCTTTCCATGGTCCGGTTAACGTTGATAACCGATCTTTTTACTTATCCCGAGCATAAAGCGGAACTTCGGCCTCCACCCTTCCTTCCGTATAAATGATCACGGTGTATTGTTTATGCAAAGGTTGAACGACTAACCTAGAAATAAAAGCAAAGATTGCAACTGTTATAATTGAGGATGTAAACACTGATGGGGCTTTTTGTGCCTATTAAAATCAGAAACTTGTGCTGTTGAAGTTACTTAGAAGTTATGGGTTAATTATTTATTTTTGAGTTAGGGCAAATAATTAATTACAGGTACATTGCCTGTTATTGCTGATAGCTGTCGATTTTCAACGCTTTAATTAAGCTCGTAAAATGTTTTTCCACTGAATACTTTAATTCAATATAAAACTTTATCTACTGACCCCCAGTTTTTATTCTCATGTGATAATAAGCAAATGTAAAAATAATGTTGCTATTGGAAGCATAAATGCAAAATGCGTATAAAAAGGCTGAATGTATCTATTATACTAGATTCCTATTTATTTATTTAATATTCAAAATAATAATGATTAATTTATAATATAAAATATTTATAATAAAATAAGTATTTTATTTCGGGAAGGTATATTTTTAAATCGATCAATGCTTATAAAGTATGACAAATTTTATATATTTTCATTCTAAATATAAGCGGATTGCCTGTCATCAAGATATAAAATAATCCACCACTGTACAGGGTGAAAAGCTGGAACGCATCTGGCATTCTCCCTATGACTGTTGTTTGTACTAGAATTCAATCATGTTCAAAACAATGTTTTGCTTGTGACGAAAACATAATTCAACTCATTTTATCTCCATAATTAATGCTTGATCGAAAACCAAAATACTGACCTATGAACCGGTAAGTTTGTAAACCCGGGACGGGATTGTCCAGACCACCATAAAGTTTGGGCGATTTTAACTTGTTCTGATTTGAGATTTTCTATGTAAAAACATTCAAAAGGTTTAAAAATTCAATTATTTTCTGCCATAAAAACATATACCCGCTCGAATTCGAGCAAAGTCCTTATTTATCTCATGACCATAATTCTTCAAAATTCTACAACAACAAAAAAAACCACTAGCTTCAGCCTTACTATTGTGTACGGTATTAGATTTTAAAGACGGTTGTTTGTTCAAATTCTTGGTTCTCATCTCAGACCATTTGATGAACAACAATCACTGGGAGCTTTCAGGACAGTTTCACGTACTTCAACCCTACATGACCTGCTGAGTCGATAATTCGTTGGGGATGCTTCTTCAGCCCCTGGGAACGATTTCAATGCCTCGCAAGTGCCATTTACAGGAGTGTGAAACACGTTCAACTCACATGCAAGTTTTTCTTTTGTCCTAAATGTCACAAAGTTTCCCAGTTGACGTTACTTTTTGTTATACATTAAGTAGTCACTATACAACACAGATGTATTACATCATACAATATTGAAAATAGTGACATGTTATAAAAAAAGAATGCAGCTAGGTATCGATTCAATGTTGCAACTGTTTACGATATTAAATTATACAAACTTTATAAAATCACAATTGAACAAAGTAAAAAAAGCTCGACTATCGCGTATTATTTTTTGTTCCCTTCAATGAAACAAAACCATTTTATTTCGCCTAGCAAAGCTTATAAGTGGTTTATTAACTCTGAAATCCGATGGCAAAGCGATTTGACCCACATTACTTAATTGCAGTCCCTTTTGTTTCCACTTAGAAACAATTACACAAGATCATGTGCCATTCATTCCATTCAAAGATTCATAGAATTACTCAGGTTCGTAATAGTAATTTCTTTTGCAATGAAAATTGGAAACGCGGTCCTTTTTCCAAACTGATTACTTTATTTACTTTTTTTTCTGTTTATATATGTACAAGTATCGACATACCCGTGTTCTCCACAGTTAAACTTTCCACAAAACTACTCAACCTACATAAAATTGATACAGTATGTTTTGTTTTGATGCATAACCTCTACTTTTCAACATTTCATCAAACATAACTATTTTTTTCGATTTCTTAAAAAAGTTAAAAATCAAATGGACTTTTTTTAAAATTGTAACCACCATTTTCATTTGCAGGTAGATCAAGATAATTCGATGTTATACAAAATAGTGAACGCCGTCGGAAATCGATTCTGAAAAAGTTAGATAGTGAAAAAAATACACACGAAACTCAAAATTTTAAGTTCAAATTTGATTTTTATCACTATGCCAAGATGGGTGTTCAAAAATACATCCCCTAGGTTTTCAGTAGACATTCTCTGATACCGCCATCCATTTCAGCAAACCCAGTCCTGAACTTAAAAAAGCTTTAGGACCATCTCTTGTGTTTGGAAGAATGGTTCAAGAAACGAAGAATCAGAACCAACCAAATAACAGGAATTGACTTTCAGGTTGCGAAGGATCGCCTCTCGCCTAATCTGCTATATTTCTTTCTTCGCTAACAACCAATGTCGTCTGCTACTTAGGAATTTACATCGTCAAAAACTTGGAACCCCCACAATCGATCACAAGTGTATACCTAAGCAGACATAAACTACTCAAAAAATATTAGACAACATATCGAAACTCTCACTAAAAATGGATATCCTCGTCACAAACCAAGCATCCAACCTCCAGAGGATCCAGTCACTCCAGTCCAAAATCCATCAAACTATTGCTCAAGCTCGCTATTTCGTATCTAACCTTACATTCAACACAGCCCTCCAAACCCTATTTGTTATCGAAACTGGAAGATGTCGATACTGACCAAAAAACCAGATTTTTAACTCCTTAAACCTTTTCCTTTCATCCTGACCACTTTCCGATAATTCCCTAAAATGATTAAAGTGTTATTGGCCTCGCGATTTCCTCCCTATTGAATAAAGTGATAGTGCTGCGAATGTAGTTTATGAATTACTTATCCACTCTTATAATTATCTTGATACAATAAAAAATTTGTAACGACAACAAAATTCCTCGTAACGCTGTTGTAGCATACATTTATCTAAAAACATCAATTTTATGATGTTATTGTTAACAAATTTAAAAATTAGAAGATATTTCAGCCCTGTTGTATGATAACTATTTCTATTATCATTAATTATGGTAATATTAAGTATCATTAATTAGTAATATGAATTCAACAGAGTTAAAAATTATTCCAGACCTCACGTGTTGAATTCATTTATGGATTCAAGAAAAACCTGTGTCACTTTTATCCTGGCGATATTTATCTAAACCGTCACTAAATGAGGAAGAGGGTAGAAACGTTAATGAAGACTGTCCTCGTGACAAATGACGGAGGAGCACGGGATATCTTCCGAGAAGGTAAAAGGTTGACAGTTTTATGCCAACCTCGGGCAAGTTACTCAGTTCAATATCTCATTGTTTCACCATCGGATCGCCGCTGTTCGCAGTGTACTTTGAACCTCAGTTATTGTTTCCAAAACTCTGAAAAATTTGAAGGGTGTTCGGACAGGGTAATTTAAAAGCCCGAAAAAAGTATATTTAGCGTATAATAGAAAGAACGAAGAACTAGAAAGAGAAGCGACATAGGTACAAACGAATGTGGATTGAATTTGAATGTAACCTATTTTGTTAGTAAAAATAAAGTTTTATTGTTATTGTCATTTATTAATCGATGTATTTCTGTTGAATATACAGTTAGTAATTTTTTTCTTTCTTTTTTAGAATCCGGTAATTGTGGAGAGGAATTCGTGATAACATAGACACAACCAGTAAGTATCTAAAAGTGTTTACAAAACATTTTATTTTTACATGAAAATAAACCGTTATAACATTATGACTTAAGAGCATTGTTATTTAAATTTGCAAAATATGAACTCTGCTGTTAATAATAGATAATTTTCCTCTTCCTTTTAACATTAAAATATTCTGAAAGCATAAAAATATCCGATATTTTGTGAAACATTATTTATGTTTAATTAAAACCTTCTTTATAATTCGACTAAGAGTAATCTTCTTCTCGTCAACCTAATCTCGACAGCATTCAACCGACGAATAGTTTTCAATTTTAATTAACTTTCCGCTGTTTAACACAAATCTTTTTTTATTTAAAACCTAAAAGGTTGCGCAATGGCTTATTTTTTAATTTTTACCTTCTTCGGATTAACTGGTGACCAATGTCTTCCATTCTTACATAATGAAACACTTCTTTATTTCCATACCCTGAAAATTGAACTATCCGCAAAAGTAGTTTAGCACCTTTTGAGGGTCATATTCATTTATTTGACTTTAATATCGTCTTTCATAAAAGGCTGTACCTCGAGCCCGGGGTCAGACATTGGTTTTGTCCGTTCAACCAGCGAGGTTGGGCTCCAGGGGTTATCAACAGCTTTCGTCCTTTAGGGCGTCCCCCCCCCACTCGTCCTGGTATCCTCATACTGATTGTGTTTGTACCTGTTAATAATTTTTACGTTTTTTGTACACAGAGTAAGTTGACCCGAATAAAGGTCGAAATGTTGGCAAAAAATAAAAAAGCTGTTTTTTTAAACTACCTTATTCTCGACCGCTACTCACGACTTCAACAAATTATGAAACAACGTTCCTTTCAATGATTTCCCTTTCTGTTTTCTAATCGTGTTTATCAGATTTTTATTTACGATTCGCAAATAGAAATTGAATAAAAGTGGAACAAATTCCGATGTTGGGGAAGAATTATTATTTATTTATTTATTATTTATTAAAACGTGGAATTTTAAATTCTAAGTTTTCATTATTTGAACGTAATACGGAAAATGAGAACCCTTTTATCCCCAACTGTATTTCTGATAGTTGATTGTTGATGTATCGCCCGATTCGAAAACGCTAGATTTTTTTCGGGAAGATTAATTTGCCGCATACAAGCTTTTTCTATTGGGTTGTCCGGAAAATAATGCAGGATTTTGGTATTAAACAAAAAAAAAGAAACTAGTTACTTTAAAGCAATGTTCTTTAATCAAAATACTTTCCCANATGAGTAATCCTGTAAACGTAAACAGAATATTTTATATAGATTTTTTTTAATGAAAACTTAAAATCCTGCATTATTTTCCGGACAACCCGATACTTACACTCAGTTCATTTCCGCCCTTTGATCACATGTTGTTTGTAGATTGACAAACTTCTCACAGTTCTGTTTCCTACATTTTGGGCTAACCCAGTTAAACGGGTGAAAGGGTAAACTTTGCACCAATTCTTAACAGTTACCAACCCTAATTGTATGGTTAACTCAATTGTTTATTTAGGTAACTCTGTTCATGCAACTAAATATTGCGAAATCTCGGCACGGATAGTAAACATTCCATCGAGTTATATCAAATAAATGAGAGAGAGCCAACGAACAAAGGCGATCCAGCTTTGTCATTTTATTCACTCTCCAAAGGAAAATTTGACTTTGTGAGTCCAAACTATTTATGGCATGGACTCTTCGCTGTTTGTGTATTTTTTGTATTCTTAGTTGAAAGTGAAGAGGTTTTGACATTGTCCATTGTCTTTTCGCGATGTGTACAGTCTGTGATAGTGTAATGCTCAAGGAGAATTTCAACAAATTTATCATATAATGCAGCAATTATGAAAACATCAATTTTCAATCAACACAATAATCTTTTTTTAAATAATAATATAAAATATAGGAATGAAATTTTTTGATGCCAAAAAAACATCTTTCACCTCCTACTTCTTCTTACAACGAGTAGATTACACTTTATATATTTACTCATTACTTAATCGATATAAAGTGACGAATAAAAAAGCCAATTTACACCTTTGAAAGAAAACCGAATTATTATTGGGGTAGCATAATAATCAACCATAATAAAAAGGAGGCGTTTTGAGTCCTACGTATGTAGACAGATTGGAGGTAGTTTTTTGGTGCTTTGTCCTTGCTGAGTAGACGCAGGAGCTTTCAACTCATTACTATCAATGGATGGTGAACAACCAGATCTCACTATATCTCCAAGAACCAAGTCTTCTTTCAGGAATTTTTAAATCACCTCTTGGCAGCTTGGGTTGACATGGAATCTCACCATTGCTCTCGTGCCGCACCAGTGGGTTTCATTTAATTAAGCCGAAGTCTTAAAATATCCCAAATTTCTTTCCTTAAATTGTTCAATTTTAAGTATTTTATGGAAAACCCTCAATCGACTTATTGAGTACAAATACACCTCGACAATTAATTTTTATACTCAATGTACAAGTTAATTAAAGCAATATTGAATCGATTATAATATTGAATAATACAAGCATACACCTATTGTTTTTGTAGGTGGATATTTCTATGAACTTTTATTTTTTCTAAGAATTGCAAAAACTCCACTAAGGTTCTAAACAAAAGCACGCCTTTGCTAACTATAGCACATGGAGTATTTAGGAGGTGGGCAATATATTAACCGCTAAACTGCTAAGTGATACTCACTCCCAGAACTTTGTTATTGTTTAAAGTAATTTTGTTAGGCAAGTTTCCCTCTGGTCCGTCAGAATGACGGAAATATTTTACAGCCAAGAAAACTGTTTTTTGATGGCGGATATGGACGGACGAGGGGAAGCCGTAATAAAGCAACATATTTTTCTGCGTGTCCTGGTTTATAAAAGGAAAAGGTTGATCGTAACTTTACCAAACTACGGCTATTATTCTCTGCACACTGTTAGAAAACGTGTAGACTCGACCATTTTTCTCGGGTGGGGTGTGGGGTTTCTTTTAAACGGCGTTACCGTCAAGCAAGTCTTTAGTTTATTAAATGCTTTATTAAAGGTTTTAGGGTTTAAATGAAATGAGTGCCGTTAGAGATAAAGGAGCACATTTAAAGAACACGTCTCACTAATAAGCTGTATATGTATATATACACTATACTATACTATACTACCATACACTATATCTACAGCTTAGGTTTTTTCTAATTTATTAAAATCTCATTCAGTTACTAAAACAATTCTTAAGAATGTTCAATATTATATATTTTATATTTCAATATTAATATTTTTCGTGTTTAATGACCTATCCGGAATAGTGCACACAATAATAAGGCGGTTGAGAAGTCGTCTCTTTAATGGAAAGTTCAGGTTAGTTCGATTTCATGTGGAAAAGTAGATTATAAATGTCAAAAAAAGAATTTATAGTATTTCTCATCAGATAAAATCTAACAATCCTTTTACACCAATTAGGCTATTTTTAATCTAAATGACTATACAGGGTGATTCACTTCTCATACGACAAATTTCTTACACCTCAACTGCAACAAAAATGATCGTATAAACCATGATCAAAGTCTTCACACTTTCGTAGATATTCAAAGATTTATGTTTTTTCAGCTATGTACTGTTTCTGTCATAACTCTTGAACTATTCATTTTTTGGGAAATCCACAATGAAAAGCACAAAAGGATGAAAAATGAAAAAAAAATCACAAGCAAACGAGGAAATAAACGAAGCGAACAACCAAAGCAGAAAAATAGGACAAAATATCTACACTAAACACAGGCAAAACAAAAAGAAAACAACAATACAGAATTTTAAAACCGAACACAAACAACAAAAAGTACAATAAAAAGAAAAAATTAACGTCAAAATCAAACAACAAATAAAAAAGCGAGAGTAATTATAGTGACCAACCAAAACAAAAAAGTCACGTTGAATTTTCCGTATTGTTGTTCTAGTTTTATCTGTTTAAGGTAGATATTTGGCCCAATTTTTCTGTTTTGGATGTTTACATTTATCGTCATTTTTTATGAGTTTTGCTTAATTTTTCTTTCTTTTTGTGTTTTTTTTTTTATTAAGTTAAAGGTAGGAAATAAATTTTGCCCAGGACAAAAAGTTGAATTGCTATATTTTCACTCACTTTCTCACACCGTCAACACTCCCCCATTTATTATAAAATTTCTGCATTTTGGTCCGACATAATTAAACAAAAGGGTACATCGCTAGAAAGTTTATTAAGGGGGGGCCTTCTTAACGGAAATTGAACGCTCTTTGCTCAATGCATATCCCAATAAATGGACGATTCAAGAGCTACGAGTAAACTTAGACGAAATCTTAGATAGTTGGAAAAAAAACCATAAAAACACGAACGTTTTTGTTGCACTTGAGGTATAGAATCACTTAACGAAGTTTGTCGTACAAGTAGTGTTAGAACAACATTAGAATGTTGAAATCAATATTTACAATCTCACGTCTTACATCTTACAAATTCTTGAGTTAAATTATAGAAACTAGTTAATATTATTATTTATTTATTTCAGTGATGTTTGGTTCAAATCTTCAACAGTTTGGCTCTTGAATATTTCGGCCTACTTCGATTCAGTGTTTGTTTTATGTCTGATGACTGCCTGCGCAAATACTGTTGACGGTCCGTGAGAATGCCCCCGAAATTAGCTAGGAATACGTTATAATAATTGTACAATTAAACTCTCGTTGAAAAATAATGAGTTATTTTGTTGTTTCGATTTGAAGTTAAGTTTAGTGTAAAGTTTGTATTCTGATATTGGTTAGATTGGTGATCTACAAAGTTAAAAAGCAAATAGGGCTAATGGTGATTATTATATTAATAAAATGTTTCTTGAGAGTGTAAATGAATACAGTATACTTCTCTGACCACTACAACCTTTCAGTATAAATATTTATTAACTCCCGGCTATGTAATATTAATTGTAATGTTTGTAATAACATGGTTCTGGTCGTGCATATAATTATATTTTTTAATCTGATATCAGAATTACTAATCCCAGCATAATAGAGACTGGAT